GTCTTGTGGAGGCCTAGAAATGGGCACCAACACCAACACAGGGGGTTGCCTCCACATGGGGAAGGCGATCCTAGACTTCGGTGTTGGTGGCAATGTTTCGGCCGCCTTGGAAGCCAGAATACTACCACCATCACCGAGATCGGGATCTTCTTCCCTCGGTAGATGCACACCGCCGATATTGGTGTTGGTGTCAATATCTGGACCTGCGAGTCTTCTTGCCCCACTAGGGTCGCGGCATCTTGGTATCCGACCACTTGTCCAAGCTATACACCATGCAAATCTCGGACCCTGTCTACCAGGTACATCTGCCACCGGCAGACGGGGATGCGCAGTGCGGCGCAGTCCCAGGACGGGACACGCTCCTCCGGACAGTCGGCTTTCCGACCTTCCTACGGAGAGCGACCCACGTGCGCCAGTACTGGGCCATCCTTTCCTTCGACCTGGCCGAAGCCTTCGGCAGCGTCATCCAGGAGTACCTTTTTCGGCGCTTGTCACCGAGCTACACTTTTTGATCTGCGGGGCGAGAGCGAACCTCTTCCGCTAAAAGCTAAGCGGGCTAGGCACAGCTTTAATTAGGGAGGCAGGGCACAGGAAGGCGGGGCCTCAGGCGGCAGGAGCGGAAGGGGCCCGGGGAACAGGCGGTGCCGAAGTGGATGTGCAGGAAAAGTACGCCATGGACAGGGACCGAGGGCGAAGACCAGGGCCCACACCGACAGCTACACGCACTAGCGGATCAACTGCATGATCACAGCATCCCGCGTGACGTGGCCGACGAGACCCAGTGCTACCTACAGGACAACCCCTCGCTCCTCCGAGCGGTGGGCATGGACGAGCACTCCACCGCGAGGGTTGCTGACCTCCACTCTGGTACGTGGTTCCAGGTGCGAGGTTAACCAGGGACGGCGGTCGCCGCAAACCGTGGCGCACGTCAGGGCTGTCGGCTCGGCGCGGCGTGCTTCAACATAGCCTATGAGCTGGCCCTCAAGCGAGTCAGGCACCGACTCCAGGAGAACAACATCCAGCTGAGCATGAAGATGTCCACGCATGCCTTTGTGCCCTGGGCAACCGACTTCGACAGCAACCCCGATCACGTCATTTTGCAGCAGGCTCCCAACCACGAGCAATACGTAGATGACGTGACATTCGAGTTCCTGGCCGATTCCCCTCAGGAGTTGCTCGCCCAGGTGGACCCCGGCAGTGGACATCATCACCGAAGAGTTCCGCAAGGTCAGCTTTGTAATCAACGTGGGCCCAGGAAAATCTGCGATCATGATGCGAATGCACGGCCAGGGCTCCCGCACGACCTGGAAGGCGCGTTTCCTTTCCTTGGGCTGGTCGGTCTTGCGATCACCTGCAGGACTTGAGCTCGAAGTTGTTTACGATTTCCCGCATCTCGGCACCACGTTGCAAGCGTCTGGTCGACACATCTTAGATGCCAAGCAAAGGCTCCCTACGGTGCTCCGCGCGATCGACTTTGGCTACAAGCTCAGTTTCTTGTTCGAAGAGCCACTATGGGATATCAGCATGGCGTGGAGACGACCCTCAAGACATCGAAACGTGAAGCGAGAAGGGATCAGCGAGTGTTCGCTTCATGCTGGATTGATGCATCTTTCCAGTACGTGCGGAGCGGCGCCGCCACAGAGCAAGTACACTGTGGTGACATGCTCTGTGACGGGGGATCGGGACATATGTTGAGCACCCCCTGCCGCGCGCTTGCCCGCGCCGTGCGCCGTGCACAATGCTATGAATGGCCCGTACCATCGCGTCCTTCGGAGGATCTCGGGCGACATGCGCCACGGGGCCCATGACACAGCCAGCGACGAGGAGGTCAGGCAGCAGGTGCACGCCCCGCTCCTCGCGCCGATGGCCTGGGCCCGGAGGCCCTCCCAGCTCGCATCCCACTCCAAGGCAGCGCCGACGGGAGTCCATGTGACGGTCGAGACGCTTCCGAAGCCCCCGTCGGCGAGCAGCTCGCGGCAGCTTTCCCCGACGTGGGGCAGAGGCTCGGTTCGCCCTCCGCCCACCCCGCGCAGTGGAAGGAGTCCAGCGTTGAATCCCCTCGGCGCTGGAAGCGCCAACCCGCCCTGACGAAGTGGTGGATCCCTGACCTGCCCGACCCACCGGTCACGCGCAGGCCGAGGGGGAAGCAGACCCCTCCCCCGCCGGCTGCCTCTGACAAGCCTCTCCTCACCTGTCCCGCTTGTGGCAAGCAGCGCAATGGACAGCAAAGCTTGGCCGCGCATCAGAGACGCAGACACGGCGGGAAAATGACTGCGCGTAGCTTCTGCCTTGGCCCAGTGTGACAAGCTTGTGGTGCAGACTACCACACCCACCCTAGGGCTTTGCACCACTTACAGTTCTCCTCCAAAGCGTGTCGCGCCGCGATGCTCGCAGGAGAGCTGCCCGAGTGTAGCGCCGAGGAGATATCCGCCGCGGATCTGCGCGACTGCATCGCGCAGAAGGCCTCAAACCTTCGCGGCGACACCCGGGCGCGCGCTCT